AATTAACATGATTCTCACCTCCACCTTCCATTTCAACTGCAATTGCTTCAGGATGTTGACCAATCATGTCCTTGTTTGCCTCTGAGATACTCAGAAACACTCCATCACAGTGCACTTTGGCATTATATTCATCAGCATTTTGTAAAGGTGCCTTCCACCCATCAGCCACATGTTTGATCAGGTTACCAATATCTCTGCTGGGGGGAGTTTTGTGTGCAGCTGTTATCAGCTTTGCTGAAACAACCACATCTCCTAACTTGACCTCTCTGGTGTCTAAACCACTGCAGGCACCAACAGAAAAAATAGCCTTGGGTCTCAAGAGTAAGATGGCATCTTTTGTCGCAGACAAAGAGCCCCCAGGAACATCAGGACCTTTAGAGCACCTCATCAATGCAATTTTCATTTTCTTTCCTTGATCATCACCAATGCAGCCAAAGTATACATAGCCAATACTGATGTGGTAACTCTTAAAGGGTTCTTTCAGGAAGGCAAAGCAGCTTAAGAACTCACAGTCCTCCACTGTTAATAACAGAATATGAACAGGGAGTTCAACATTGATCCAAGCAGAAGAGGTTTCTGGAAGGTCCCTCATCAGTGGAAGTGTAACACTAAGCTTTGGTGGGCTGGCATTACTATTCAGTGCTGATCTATTCTCCCCTGGCATTATTATTATCTCTGAAAAGGAAAAATGTAGTTTTCACTTTTTTACTAGTTATTAGCCTGATCCAAATGAAGATCAGAAGAAAACAAAGCAAAGGAAAAGAAAACCAGTGATTGATAATGGTAAGTAAGTCCTTGACCAGCATAAAATACGTTACATTCACTTCAATCGATAAAATGGTACAACATTACAAATGCATAATTAAAGAAAAAAAAACTGACCGCTCTCTGTTTTTTCTCCTAGTATGCATGCCTCAGTGTCATTTGCTGAGTAACAGCATCTTTCACTCAAATTATCAGGCTTCAGATTTTTCATCTTCAGTACAAAATTACGCATCAGCTATTAATTGTTCTCAAAGAACAGCATTAACTCGCATCATCAAGAAGAAAAAACACAAAACTTTACAACAACATAGTAAACAACACACCTTGTTACCCACCAAAGCAGCACCACAGTTTCTTTAGAAACTTTCAGCCTTTACTACAACATAGCTTGTAAACTCGTGCAATCAAATTCAATTAAGTTCGCATGCTTCAATTTACCAATGTGCACACTGGTAACTTCAGCAAACAAATGCCTGATGAAAATATTTTTTTCTTGCGAGTGACTTCAGCATTTTTTATTAAAAAACGGGAAAAACTTCTACAAAAAAGTTAAACTAGACATGGCAATAAGAAAACAAGCTGATGAAGATCTGCCTACTTTTTCTTTGGGAATGGATGTTTTAACTCCCAAGAAAGAACCCAGAGAAAGGGAAAACAAAACAATCAACACCAGCTTCATCTCGTTTTCCAACTCTAAGTTCACTTCCACGCATGAATTCACCCGCCAGTTTTTGACCAATCTGAGACGAGATCATTGAAGCAGAGCAAAATACTTTTCCGAAACAAAATAAATAACACATTGAAGCACAAGAGAGGGAATTTCTGCCCTTTATACATAAACTACAGCCTTGAAAATATTATAAAATAATTGGTTCCTGTGTCAACTGTGTGTTCATCAAGACTTGAAGCACTTGAGGAGTTTGGAGAGCACTTAAAGAGCTAGAGTTGCTCTCGGCTGTGCCCAAAGCAACTCTTTCGCATCTTTTGTGCTCTTCAAACTTCCTGCGTGCTTCAATTCTCCATGAACACATGCTGATGCATGAACCAATTGTTAACTTACAGGTAACTTTGAGTTTTAAATACAAATTTTGGAGCAAATTGCTTTCATTTCACAACCCCAGTATATGTAACATTTTTAACATGAAAATGTTCATTTAAAACTCATATAAAAGAAAAATCACCCAAACATTCCATATTTCCTGATTTGTGTTCAGATATGTCAGTGCAACTTTTCAGGTCACCTTCCTTCCTGGCCTTTTTTACCATTTCATCTTCATGTGATTTTTATATCTTTGCTATGAATTTGTTCACAAAATAATATAATATCACATCATCCAAAAAACCATAAAACTTTACTTACATGATCATGAACATGTTACTATGACTTCTCAAACAGAAATTTTGGGAGAAATTCTTTTTATTTATTTCACAATCCACCATATCTAACATTATGAAAAGAACTTAAAATCAGCAAAGGTAAATCAAACAAACCTTCTTTCCTTGCACTTTGTTCAGAAATCTCAATGGAATCCTCCAGGTCACCTTCCTTTCTGGCCTTTTTTGCCACTTCATCTTCATGTGATTTGTCTGTGATGCACTCTTCATCCTTCAACCACTCTTTCAAAAGCTCTTGATAGCCTTCCTCAAGATCGGCATCCATACAATCAATTTTGAGTTCATCGATAGCATTCTGATAGTGGACCCCTCCAATACGCTGAAAGGTGTCTTGGATATCATTCCAGTAGAAACTGAAAGTTGGATCATCAACTGAACCACTGGTAACATGGCTGTTATAAACTCTGTCTCTGAGGATCTTGATACGAGTGATATCAGCTGCTGGAGTGGTGTCTGTTACCAGAGGAAGGTCATCCTGGCCAGAGGCAGGGAGAGTCAGACCCCAGATATTCCTCAGAAGAAGCACCAGTAGGGAAGTGTCAAAATCCCTTGAGGAAACTGAAGATTTGAAAGCAGGATAAAGTTTGCTCCACTGGGAGGTAACCAGGACTCTCCTCTTTCTCAGGGTTTGCAATTTTGCATGATTTCTGGGATTAGTCAGAACATTGTGAAGGTTTCTTGGTGGACAGACCCTGTCAAAGATGTCCCTTACTACACATGATCCAACATCGACAAGGAGGCGACACAACTTAGCATAATTTGAGGTTTCTTTGGTGGAAGGATTTTCTGGAGTGACAGAAGCCATGAAGACATGCCTCCTAGGAGGAAATGTGTCCAGTTATTATTGGTGAGATTAAAAAATACAAACTGTAACAAAGCTGTTGTGATTGTAAATCGAAAATGGTAAAATACCAAACGTCATTCAGCAAATGCTTAGAGTATCACTATTTGGTGACAACCGCGAAATTTTCGATAATTTTCCAGCACTGGAATGCGGCCGATTGAATTCTTTAAAACGGAATATAACCAGTGAATCAACGTTGAAAAATAAAGAGAAATCAAGTCTATAACTCAGAGCAACAAATTATACGAACACGTCTCCAACATACAGGAAGTGCTGACCGAAGGACTAAGCCATGGGTTTATACGATTTTGTTTAAAAGCACAAATTTCCTCGCTTGTAGCTACAGGAATCAAGCTGGAAAATGAATGATTCATGAATTACTTTACCTTGACAAAAATCAACTGCCCAGAAACGTTTTATAGGTCTCTCAAAGTAAAGATCAACCATAGCCGACTCCAACAACAGCCATGTTTAAAATTAGCAAACAGACTAGTTACCAGTCCTAGTTGGCAAATGTGAAGTAGAGACTGGGAGATATGACTCCCGTGCACACTTTGATTGCGTTGCATCATGGTTGTAAAACAAAGATTGAGTTAATTATTTGCATCTTGACGCTTTGGAGTTAACTTCTTTGGTGGCAGCGAGATAGCGTGAATATACGTGGATTGTAATGAGGATTCACTGTCTGTTGCCGTTCCTTCGAAAGTTAAAACGTTTGACGGGCCAGCGCGACTCCCGTCATTCCTCAGTGACGAGTTCGTTCTCAATCTGCCTAAGAATCTCGACACAAATGGCAACAGTTACACTCGCAACCGGTGGCGGAATGAACAATTTTAAAGTCAGACATCATATTCCTAAACGCGAGTTATTTAACAGAGAAGTACCAATGACATGCAAACGCATATTAAAGAGATAGGGACCTTGTAACACACGAACTTTTTCCACTAGGGGTAAATACGGGATTTGTAAATGGAGAAGCCCCACGCCTTCGAAGAACGAAGTTGTCTCGCTCCACGTTTAGTAAAGACGTACAGAGTTTCAAAATACCCTTCGAGAGTAGAGGAAACCTAGATGAGGGTTTTGAGAAACGTATCTCTGGAGCTATTTCTACTGGAGAAAAGTATACTTTAAAACAAAGAAAATAGCGCGCACACAGAAGAAAATATTGCCTTTTGTACCACAATCTCATCAGACTTTGCCAAACCTCAAGAACCTACAGACGAGGAAATGACACCTCAAAACCGACTCTTATTATCACATCGCAAAGGAGAGTCATCAAGAGTTATCCTAATAAGAGCTAGACTTTGAGGGTAGAATATTTAAAAGTGCTAGCAAATGGTGTGCGGCGTACAGGCCTATCAACACCTTTCAACAGTCGATTGCCTTTTGCTTTCTAGCTTTCTGGGGTGTCGCCTCACGAAAGGTAAACGTTTTCGTGGATTAAGTTGACCCAAGAATATGATTTAAAGCAGTTTGTAAAAGACCCGTCCAGGCGTCAGGGAAACTCAAGTAAAACCTTAGACCTGCGATCACGACATAGTGCTGTTTAAACTGAAGTCACCCTGCCACAAAAATCGTCATGTTAAACGCAAAGTGTACATCAGGAAGCGATCTGACGATCAGCGCATTAAATTGGAATCAAAAGATATTGCCACTAAACTCAGCCCCCAATATGATAAAAACTCGCGAGACGCAAAATGGAATGACTTTGAAAACAGTGTTCGCAGCATAGTGGACTCCTGTATCCTGCATAAGATGAAAAGTTCGAGGTACTACTTACCATGGTTCAATCGCTCGCTTCCGCGACAATCCAGGGCGAAACAAAGATTATATATGAAGGCAAAGAAAACAGTGTCTGATGATCACTGGAATCAGTTTTTTGGCTGCCAGGAAACGCGTCCATAGAAATCTTAAGTCTGCTAGGGAAGAGCATATCAGTAACCACCTTGGTGATGCAATCGAAGAAAACACAAAAACGTTTTTGGTCCTACGTAAAGCCACTTAACCATGAAAATCCGGGGGGGGGTTGCAGACTTTGAAGTAGACGGCAAAGTCGTAAGTGATAGTGGTCTTAAGTCAGAAATCCTGCACAGCCAATTTTCAAGTGTGTTTACTAAAGAAGACCTTGAGAGCATTCCAGAAATGAGGTCTGATCCCACACCTGGCTTGGGTCCTTTGATTATCTCAGAGCAGGGAGTCTTAAAACTTGTGTCTTCTCTAAACCCTAACACTGAAAGCCTGTGGCCCTGACCAGATTCCACCCTGGTTTCTAAAACTTTTTGCTGTAGACACTGCACTAATTTTGACTGACATCTTTCAAGACTCGATAGACAGTGGTACTGTCCCCCGCAGGTGGAGAGAGGCAAATGCGTGCGCAGTTTTTAAAAATTAAACGGAAAGAAATCAGATCCAGCCTATTATAGGCCGATATCCCTTAATTGTGTTGCGTCCAAGATCTTCGAGCATATCGTCCACAGCTTTCAYGATTATGAAACATCTAAACGATCCTAACATCTTAACTGACTGTCAACATGGTTTTAGAGCAAAGAGATCTACAGAGATGCAGCTAATTCTACCCTACATGACATGGCAAAGGCTATTCAGAGCTCATCGATCCACGCGGTCGTCTTAGACCTTGCCAAGGCTTTTGACAAGGTCCCTCTTAGGCGTCTCCTAAGGAAACTGCACCACTATGGAATCCAGGGCCCGCTTCTAATCTGGTTGGAGTCATTTCGTACACAATGTTTTCAATCAGTTGTCTGCGAAGGCCAAACATCAAGTGAACGCCCAGTGACTGGCGTACCCCAAGGTACAGTCCTTGGCTTGCTGCTCTTTTATTACATATAAACGATTTACCAGACAACGTGCAATCAACAGTTAGGCTCTTTGCGGACGATGCTTTACTCTATAGCATTATCGCCAGCGATGCAGAATATGACCTTCTTCAATCTGACCTACACAGACTAGAATCCTGGCAACACTATTGGCAAATGGAGTTTAATCCCTCCAAATGTAAAATTGTTACCATCTCACATAAGATCAACCCAGCCCAGAGAAAATACGTCCTCTGCGGTGTAGAATTGGAACAGGTGGATAGCTTCCCATATCTTGGGGTTACTATCAGTAACAAGCTTTAGTGGTAAGACCACGTTTTCATGATAACAGCTAAAGCCAACAAGTCGCTGGGTTCAATCCAACGCAACCTTTGGAATCGCCCAAAGAATGTAAAAGAAATTGGATATACGTTCCTAGTACGGCCGAAGCTGGAATAATCGAGAATATTTGGTACCGCACTCCGACAGTTGCACGAGGGGAAGCCATCAATTTAAGTTTGAACTGCCATATGCAAGGAAACACGTTTTTAATAATTTCCTTTTTTCAAGAACTGTAACAGACTGGAATGGCCTCCCTGAGACCATTGTTTCGTCAACTTCCTTAGAAATTTTTAAAATGGGTTATCAGCCTTCTATAATGATAACGGTTTATGCACGGTTTAAAATGATAACGGTTTATGCAATGGTAACGGTTTATGCACTAGTGTGTATTACAAACCTACAGAAATTTTCCAAATAGGTTATTAGCCTTCTAAAATGATAGTTGTACATAGCTTATAGAGTTTTCGTTTAAAATTTAATTCAAAATGAGAGAGAGTGTGGTGTGGATGTTACAAAAGAAGGGACAATATTACCTCTTCCAAAAACTCGAACCAGAAAACAGTGAGTGAACATCCTACGCCGTAAACGACAAGTTGTTCGTAAATGTTCATTAGCTTTTTGCAGTAATTCCCGTTTCCGCCAGCCCCCCTACTTATTGGTAATTCTCTGATAGAAACGTTTCCTGTTACAAACTGTTAGGGGTTCTCTTATCAGATAATTTAACTTGGAACGAACGTGTCTTTCATTTTGTAAAGAAAGGGAAAAAGTGGGTATGTGTAATACATGCTCTTAAGAAGTGCGGATCAGCTGATAGGCAGCTTATTCTGGTCTATTGTAGCATCATCAGATCTGTTCTAGAGTATGCGAGCCCCGCTTGGGCTGGCCTCACGCAATACTTAAGTGATCACATTGAATTGGTACAAAAAAAAGGGCACTAAAAATTATCTTTCCGTCTTTGAGTTACGAGGACGCGCTAAAGAAGTCAGGCTTAGTTTTTCTGCTTAAGAGGAGGGAGGATGCGTGCATAACATTCCTCAAGCGAAGTCACTCTTCTTCTGACCTACTACAAAAGTTAGTGCCGCGTTGTACATTCACAAGACCATATGCCCTTAGCACAGGAGAAACTGTGTCTGTACCTGCCTCTCCAATAACTAACAGATTAGGAAACTTTTGCACCATCAAATACCAGATCCACGATTAAAGTACCGAATTACGATTCGTCTTAATACTCATAGTATTTAATATTTACATAGCATTGAATGTTTACATTTAATTGATATCTATAATTGTTATACATAGGTGTAACGTAGAAGTATTTGTAATGAATGACCCGCCTTGTAACTCAACGTATGCTGCTAAGAGGTTGAATAAACGATCATTATCATTATTATTATTATTATTATTATTAAACATTTTTCACGAGCGTTCAAAAATATTTGAAGGATACTAAACAGAAGAGCCTCCGCTTGGCGCGAAAATGTGCTCGTATATTCCTCGAAGCTCAGTTTCCTCGAACCTCGCTCTTCAAAAACTGTTCTCGTATCGAAACAATGTCTGCGAACAAATATCCGTGCAAATTTTCGCGCTAAATGGAGGCTATTGTTTACACAAATCCCTTAATTTACCGTTTGCACTGGCTTGAATTTGCAGCGTTTTAGTTTTTAAATAAAAGAAGTTAATGGCACAAGGAGTAACTTCAATACGGCAAAGAAGCTACTGCAGGATGCTGAGCTGTTTACCAACGATCACTACAATCCTTATCTTCGACGGTATAAACTAATTTAGATTCGATGAACTCTTCGAGCTCTTCGTAAGAAACATTCCAGTTGAGTAGTCTTTAAACTCGATTGAATGATAGGATCATATTGAAATTCAAGTTTTCTTCTCTGGAAGAGAAATAGCAACTTTTGAGCGGGACTTAGCAGAAGTTAGTGTTTGCACGTCCGTCCGCCATTACTGCTGGTGACCTCGATGCATCACGGCAAGTGACTGGCACCTTAGTTGTGAATTAGTATAGGTAATCGCCTGCAGGGGGCCGAGTAAAATTAAGGATTAATATCACGCGTGTTTTCGGAAGTTGCTTAGATTTCTGCAACTTCCGAAAATACAAGTGATATTAATCCTTAATTTTACGAGGAACCATGTGATTACTTGTTTATAATATAAGGGGCAAAATGTTTGCTTACTGATCTCGCGCAAAACGGGAGGCCATTGTTACTAAACGAACAGAAATCTCTTTACGTTGGCAGCCGTTGCTAAGCGATTTTCAGCCAATCATTTTCAAGTAATTTTGTCCGGGGCAATTACAAAAATTG